ACAGAAAATATATATTTTCTCAGTCTCCTCTATCAATCAAGGACTTTAATTTTGTCAGTCTTCCTGGATTATTTAAAATTAATAAAAACTTAGTATAAAAGAAAAAAATCCCATTAAAATCCCTATCTCAAAATTAAGTATGAATGGGCCAAAGATTTATGAAACATAGCCAGTCTGAAACAAAGACTTGAAAATCTTTGGCATATGTAATGCCTGTACAGCTGACACCATGCACTCCACTCCCCCCACGCCAGGAAGAGAAAAAAAAAAAAAAAAAGAATGTTCTATCTTCCATCAGTCTGGAGCTGCACAAGGAGAGTTGGTTTAGCTGGCTTTTTCTTTTTCTTTTTCTTTTTCTTTTTTTTTTTTTTGATATTTTCTGGATGATATACAAGAAAAAGCAAAGTGTGGCCTTTCTCACTAGTATGTAATTATTCTTTGAATATATTTAAAGGGAGATAGAATGATTTCTGGGTCAGTGATTGGAGTCTTCAGCTATTTAGAATATCCTGTGAAAGTTTCAAATTAGGTATCATATTGTATATACAGAAATTTTAATCACTGTTCCCCAGTGGTCCCTGTTTATTCATGTGACAATACAATTGGTAGTAAGGTGAAACTGGATTTAAAGGAGATTGCAAGCCCTCCTTTAAGAGGAATTCAGAAACTTTTTATTTTCAGAAATAACTTTCAATTTTGCAAAAGTATATTACAACAGCCAGTTGCAAATAGACCTACAGTCTAGTTATCACATGGTAAATCTACCTTTAAGAAAACGAATAAGGTGGGAGACCACCCAAACCAGAATACCAATTTTCTGCTCTTTTTACAGCCCGCCAGCACAGCAACATAACAAAATTTACTGGCTCAGTTTTCTCCCACAGAGCTCGGCCTGTACGGCTACCTTCCCTGTTACTGTCCTCTTTGGTGTGATTAAACTAATTTGTTTCGTTTGTGACAATTTTGTACCTAGAACACATGCATATGCACCTGGTTCAATACATATGGTGTGCTTCAACAGGCAGCTGAGCTCATTTAAAAAGTAAATGTTTCTAGGATCTGCTACTTTCAGAAGAATGGGATTGACAGAAGAAAAGGACTATGGGATTAAAGTTGAATGAACAACCCTTTCAACCCACAGAAATTAAAATCCTCAACTATCATTTTTGATACTATACTATCAGCTTTTTCCTTTCAGCATAAAGGCAGATGCTTAAGCACTGAAATGTAGGTCCCATCACTATCATGTAGATAATGTCTAAAAGAATTTATGAAATTTTTGCTTGAGTCCCGTATGAGCCCATTAATGGAAAGTATAAAGTGAAGGTTTATGAATGGAATAAAAGACTTGACACTTAACAGGCAACTGCTCAATATAGGGAAGCTCTCCACCTGATTAAATGTGTGTGTGTGCTAAGGGACTCGTTATGGTCAGCAGACCCTCACACCTCTTACCTTCACCCAATTACTTGTCAGTGTAAGCTATGCCTATGATTTTACACGGGGATGATTTGCTTTTTCCCATCTAAAAGCTGAGCTGCTTATAAAAAATCCCGATCAAATATGGAAGTAACTGTTTATAGTAGAAAATGAGGAAAATAGATGAAAATTTCTATGCACTTAGAACATCTAATGTTTATCCTTCAGTCCTTCTAAAAATTGTATCTGGACACAGACCAAATATGACTAGTTTCAGTACAGAAAGGAAACATTTTTGCAGCACTAATAATCTATGACATATAGGTTAGTGTAGAAATATGGTGATTCTTCCATTTGAAATCTAGAAGATCAACAAAAAAGATCAAGACATTTTTAATAAAATGCCACATAATCTGACCATCAGCTTTGTGATATAGGTCAGAAGTCAACACACAAATGCAGCTAGCATTGCACCTAATTCTTGTTAGATTTGGTCAGTTCTCAGAATTAGTCTGGGTTGTAGAGAGATTGAAAACGATGGAATTGAAGGTCTCATATAGTACCAAATGATCAACTGGGTGCTTCTGAGAGAGATTCCCTTGACTTAGAAAGATATACAAAACTGTGTTAGATGTTACAAAATTATTTCTTGTACAAAAGCAAAAGAGGGTAGGTATCTATCTGTGCTACCCCACCATTGCCAAATGGTGCTGGAAGGCCAACAAATTTGAGCCTATTTAGAAATAAAAATAAAAATAAAGATATTTTAGCTATGCTGTTGCAGACTTTTGGTACCGATCTCTCAAACAACTACAGATTCACTCCTTTCAGTCAGATGCTTCTAAGATAGCTGGAGTACAGGGTTGAACAGTGGCAAGTGACACACTGGGGCCTGGCAGTGCTATTCACCTGAACGCTTCCCTGGATCTAGGAAGGATCAGGGAAGACAGTAACTCACAGAAGCAGCTTCACAGTTGTGCTCAGAACTCTGTGCCTGAAGTTGTGCTCATTTGACATGGTGAGGGAGATAAGATTTGTCCTTTCTTTTTCTCTTTTTTTGACTTTGTTTTGTCTGGTTGGGGAATTATAAATGGACTTCATGAAGATACTTTTAATAAACAACTGGCTTCTTCAAGGTTAGTCAGAGAGTAATCTGTGAAGGAGAACAGTCAATATTGTGTAAATCTAAGAATTCCTGTCTGCTTTGAAGAAAAGAGTCAGAGTCTTGTTTCAAGGTCATTTGTAGATATCCAGGAAAAACCTTAACAGCACCAAGTCAGAGAACTCAACAATTATACCTCTGTGCTCTAGACAGGTTAAAGAAAGATTCTTAAAGCAGGACTAAATTGTGTTATTTTGGCATGAGAAAACGCATCCTTGTTATTTCATACTATAACCTAAACTGCAAAGTTATATTAACCACATATATAAACAAGACTTGTTTCTGGTAGTCTTTGTGCAGCTAAATAATCTGCTAACAACATGTCAGATAATAAAGAAGAGAATAATAAAAAGAATACAAGAAGTAATAGTATATCTAAGCTGCAACAGAGAAACTTTTCTGGTCGGTTCTTCCTACTTTCTTAATTCCCTTCTGTAACTAATACCCTATTTATCACAACCCCTTTCAGCTGGGGGGCCACTACTTTTTTCTTAGAGAATGGACATTTATTAATGTCAGTTTTGGGATCACAACTAGCATTTGGACTATGTATGGCAATGCGTACCAAGATTTTGTATGCTGCACCATCAGCCTGGGAAGGATGCCTGACACCTACTTTAAAATACTAGATTTCATTCATCCCTTGACCAGGCTGCATTTCAAAGTGAATTCTAATTTCTGGATAGACTACAATGTGGACCTGCCCATTCTGGAGAAGGGTGTCCATAGATAAGTTACTTTCTTCTCCAGCTGAACCTCTTATAAAAGGCTGCTGTTCCTGATGCATTGATGAGAAGAAATGAAGGCCAATATCAGACTGTGATGGGAGCTGCAATAGCTAAACTGATACATGTAATTTCAATGCAGAGCCCTAATACAGATGTTCCAGGTAGATGCATAATGATGAAATCATGATGACTTTTTTTTTTTGGACTGTAATTACGTTCATGAAAGGAAGCTATTTCTAACACGAGGGAATATTCGCATTAACTCAAAACAAAACACACAGCAGGAGAAATCCTATGGTATCAAAGGTTGCTGGCTACACAAAATTCCCCACACTTAATTTGTTTGAGTCCAAGGCATCCCAAAAGTTGTAGCTGGCCTGATTTAAACACTCTCATCCTAGGCCTGTGCCCAGACTCCCCAGTAGACAAATGCTAAGATTGTCTTCTTCTTCATGGAGAATTGCAAAATTGTTTTCATTCCAAGCTGTGAATCAAGCAGCTTTTGAAATGCTGATATCTTCTCTTGTCAGAATGACTTGCTTCTCCCTTTGCACAGCTCTCATAAATGTGTCTTATAAATGGGTATATGTTTATACTGTGCGCCTGTACCAGTTTAAACATATTTAATTTTCTGCTGATATTATTATATTATCAGCTAGTGGCACTAGCTGTGTTAAATGCATTTCACAAAAGGAAAAAATCTGTGGCAGGGCTTTGTGAAACAGTGTGGATACTGCAATCTATATTCCTGTGCATAGAGAGATTTGCTTCTCATTATTTGCCATCAGAATGTGTCAAGTCTCCTTCACTCCTACACAGTATGTGTGAGAAAACTTGTGAAAAGGTCATTTTTTACATGTGAATTGCTGGTAACAGAAATGAAATCTGGTATTTTCCTAATTCTGACAGCAAGATGAACAAGACCATCAGCTGTTCTACATTCAGCAGAAGCAGTGCTGCAGCAAGCTGGCATTGAATTCAAACTGCTACCTCTGTGTGGGCTCACTTACAGAGATATTGGTCAAATCAGGCCCTTGCTGCCCAGTCATTCCTCACCCCTAGGGGTGCAGTCCAAGGCTTCATCTGTGCTCTTCCTGTGATGGGATTGCCTCTGCCCTTGAGTGCAGGTGGAGTCCACCATTAGCAAAGCAAAAGAAGGGGCTTGTAACACTCACAGATCTTTCTTTTGTGTCCAGTGAACAACTCCAGTGACCACATCAATAGCTGCATTAGACAAGCACTTACAAGTACTCTGTGCCTTTGGAAAAACTGTTTGCTAATTCTGTGCTTCTTCCCATTAAAACTCAGCTGGTACTTCTTAGCATGTCAAAAATACTCCCAGTGCAAGCCAGAAAAAAAGGAAAAATGAAAAAGGTGATTCCCCTTGAATCCTAATATTGAATCATGAGGATTTTGTATAAGTAAATATGACTTTTTTTTGCATGACTACAAATAATATGTATAAGTAATAATTATGCTTTTTAGTTTCTGTTTTCACTTTTCTTTGTCACGTCATTGAATATCAGCCTGCAATTTGGAAAAGGTTAGAGTAATAAAGAAGTAATAAAGAAGATGAAAAACCTCCTCTGATTTTATTTATTTTATACAAGCTTAAGCAAATTTACCTTTAAATAAAGAAACATAAATAGACTAACCCATCTGCCTTTTTTTCACATCTTCTGTTTTCGTAGGTCACTTTGGCTCATCAGTAGCTTCTTATTTTATATTCTTACGCTGGATGTATGGAATAAACATGATTCTTTTTGGACTGACCTTTGGACTTGTAATGGTGCCTGAGGTGGGAATGCTTTAAATTATCATTCAGAATTGTTTTATGAATTTCTGTCTTTACCGTAAGATTTTATTGGACCGGACTATTAACTAATTTTGTAGTATCTTTATGCATTAGGAGCTCTAAAATTTACAAAAGCTATAAGGGCATACGTTTGCCATGGGGATTTGATTCTAGAGGGTCTTTTGAACTAGACATGGCAGAAAAATATCTGCAAGTAAAAATATCTTCCCTAAATGACTTCACTTATTCTGTGACAGAGCCAGCATTGTGTTTTTGTCTGTGGAGAACCAAGAAGATGGACCAAGACTAAGCATCAGCTGAGCATATCTTGATATAATGTACATTATAGAGATGTATTCCAGGCCTCTTAGGCAGCATGGGTCCTTTTCAGTAGCCTTAATGTGCATATATTAACAAGGTGTGAGAGAGACTGATAGTATTTTGAGATGTTTGCTTTGCGGTTAAAATGCTGAGTGCAAGTTGTAATTCTAGAAAAAATCACTTTTGTGCAATGTAATATTTACCTAGTGGCTTTGGAGGACTATTCTATCTTTCTAAAAAGAGCACTTGCATGGAAGTAAAACTGTTTTGCTATCTCCTTGATTTCTCTGTTTCATATCCTCTTTCCTTAAGTCCTTGACAGTGGATGTGAAAAGATCAGATAGGAGTTTCAAGCAGTTTCCTAGTAGTGCATTTTAATGGTTCTACTGAAATTCCTCCACTGAAACAAAAACAGAAAATACCCAACTATTTCCAGGGTGAGGCATTGTGAGGGCCCAGTGAGGAGATATATAGGGCAAATGTCCCACCAGTGAGAGGGAGATTTTCCTGACTCTCATCATCCAGAGCCTAAATCTGTAGCATCTGCTCATGCAGTTCTAAAAATAAAGCAGGAAAATACATGATGGAAGAAAAATGAATCAATTCATTTGAAGGCAAGCTCAGTCCTCAGAGAAGCTTGGATTCCTTTGTAAGAAGCACTGCATGACTGTCCATTACCACTAGCGCAACTTCACTTTAAATTAAAAAACCTTACCATTATTGCATATTTTTAGCATAGTTCCATCTATTAATGTGAGGAGGGGTGGAAAGAATTGGAGAAGTAACTAAATAGTTAAGCAGCACAAAATAAGTCTTCCCAACAATGATCAGATCTATATTCCTTCCCCATGTTGGTATTTTGCTTTACAGTGTAAATTTCTCTCATTTTTTGGTTCCAGGCTTTGATGGGAAAGCCATATGGTTCTTTACCTAGAAAAACTGTCCCACGAGCTGAAGAAGCAACTGCAATGAACTTTGCTACTCTCTGGGATTTCAGTGTGAGTGCATATTCATGCCATGCTGCATATTCTTTTTCTTAGTATTGGCTCTTGCTTCATTATTTAATCCTCAGAGACTTAATATGAAATATTTCAGGAGAAAAGGGAAATAGAAATAATTTACCTTTTCCATGAATTCTGAGAATAAATATTTCCTTCAGGTAAAACATATTATACTTAAGTTTCATGTCCACACACACATTCTATAGTTTCTAGCAAAAAAAGATGTGTAGGAAAAAGACTCTAGGCTGGATTTGCATCTCTTGTTGACATCTATTCCTTATGAGTGGAAGTGTGTTTTTATGAGTTTATGTTCCAAATCTAAGGGGGCAGTATGACTCAGAAAAAAAAGAAGAAAACTAAAAGAGAATAAAACATGCTTTGCAAGTCTTTTTCTAAATATGTTTTTAGCTTTTCTTATCTTAAAGAATATAGATCTAGTTTAGCTGTATTGAGGTGTGTTTTAATTTTTACTTTATTGTTGATGTGATGTCCATTCTACTCCTGGAAACTATACCTCCTGAACTTTCTACTGGTACTTTCTTAGGTATGCTACTTTTATTCCGAAAGCATATTTTTCTCTAATTTTGTACATGGCAAGTGCTGTAGTTGTTCTTTATAGATAGAGATTTTGTATAAAGCCAGAAGATCATAAAATTGGTGTTACAGTACTTTTGTTAGAAGACAGGTAAAAGCACAGGCTGTATGTGATCAACTCAGGGTAGGGGCAGAGGCAGATTTTCTTACCTCTTTCTCTTTTTTTTGGAGGGGGGGTCGGGTAACGTGCAGAGTAAGAATTTTTCTTATCCCTGCAGAAGAAAACACAGAAAGGGTACAGTGGCTCTGTCTCCCATTTTTATTGCCGTTTTTGTCTCTGGTTAGAATATGTTGGAGTCCCTAATCTTGTGACGTACAAATCTGGAACAAAAGTCCAGATAAGGTCTCTCCTTTTGTGGCTCAATACTCTTCTGTGGAGCCTCAAATGACTCCAGATTTTCATTTTTTATTTAGCTTTCGTTGGCTCTCTTTTCCATCTTCGACTATCAGCAGATGAGAAACCTGGTTGAAAGACAACAGAATGTAGGAGAAAAATGATTTTTACATGCTAATTTTATAATTTTCAAGCAGTTCTTTCAGGGTTACTCACTTTAAACCACCTAATAAAAATCAAGTATAAAGTAGTATGTTTATCTGTTCTTCTCCGTAAATGCATTCAAAGAAAATTTCTGTTCTATTTGGTCACATAAAATGGTGGGCCCTATTTGCATACAGAAGGATAGAAAGACTCTTGGCCTTTCTAAAGACCCACCTGAATAATATTTTGCAATGACTGTTCCCTAAAACAACAGTTCATTTGATTCATAATGAGTTATATTTAAGTGATGGAAAGAATATATCTAGCTATGTGGCTGGGAAATTGGATAATGATGATGACATTTTAAAATGAGAAGTTAACACGTCACGGAGACCTTGAAGAGATATTAATTATATAGTAACACAGAGTTTTTGAAAAGAGTCTTGGAGATGCAAAGAGATTTATACCACAAATGGGAACAAAATATTGAAGGAACTGGATTGGAGAGAAAAGAGATGAATGAAGACAGATGGTAGAAAGAGAGGGAAAGTTTATAAGGACTGAGAGAAACAAGATCTGACAGCTCTGAAGAAGGAAGTCCAGCAAATAGCAGAAGTTAACACGGGGAGCAAATGCGATGGCGGTAACAATGTGGAATAGGACAGTGAAAGGAATGAATCCCCTAGACTTTTCAGATTCGAAAGAACGTGTCATATTGACAAGCATTCTCCAAAGGCAATGGCATCATTAGTTAAACAGGGAAGAAAGTATTATTGTTATCTGATAGGAGTTTTTGTATGCTACAAAGTAAGTTACAAGTAACTGAATATATATCACTGAACATCATTTCACATTCTAAAAATACCCACCAGTGGGTATTTGGTGGTCAAAGTATGAGCTCAAAATGTTCTTTGCTTTGTTGTCTTTTATATTGTATTCATTTTAATGTCAAGAAGTAGTTTTGGATTCATTAATATTCTACCTGGAATTCAATTTTAACACTATATATTCTACATTTCAGACAATAATCTAAAGGAATCAGACATTCAAGGGTTATTATAATAGTGTTTTTGACCAATATTTTTATTTTATCCTTTTTTTATGTTAAACTGAGGAAGGAGTGAAAGTGATCTTCCGTGTATGCTTACCTTTATACAGCTAAAAATATTTCAGGTTTCCTGGTGAAGTGCTGTAGACAAAGACCGGGGAACAGTCTGAATTACACACAGTAGAGGGATTATCTCTGACTTGACAGAGCACAGTTACTTAAACGATATTTTAATACTTTGAGGGGTACAAAAGGCTTTCCAGAACTGCACTGACTGTGTACAGAAACAAAGGCTAACATGGAATTATAAGATGCTGTAATATGTCCTGAATATGTCCTATCAGTGCAGGTGTTCTAATAGTAATTAGTAATAAATGTGTTCTACAGTAACATTTCCATTTGGAGAAGTAAATATTATTATCTATTATACCTATGCATTTCTATACTATATCTATGTTTCTGAAAATTATTATGATATGAATGAAAATGAGATAGGCTGAGTTGTCCTTGTAAAGATTTCTGAATATGATATTCTTTTAGTGCATGAATTCTTGCTCTAACGTCAAGATTACCTGGAAGCTTTAATTATTTTGATTACTTTTAGATCATGATTCCATGATCTTGCTTGTAGTTGACCATTCACCAGTAAATTATTACCAAAAAAAAAAAAAAACCTCTTACCTACAGAAAAGTAAATGTACATTATACTAACCAATAAAATACAGTTACCTGTTAAATGATGCATATCACTGTGAACAACAAACAGCATTTCTTGACAGAGTAGTGTGGGTAGAAAGTATATGAGTAGGTGAGTATATAAGAATGAGGACCTGCAATAATGTTTTAGGAATGTAGAAAATAAATTACTAATCTGACCTTTTTGGTGAAATTATTTTCATACTTTCTGTACTTTCACACTTTATGAAGCAAGTTTTGTAAAAAAAATGTGTTTTTGTCTTTATACCAAAAAGTATTTTGGATTTTAAATTAAACTGTAGAGCTATGAAGAGTGTTGAAAATAAGAGATGTGAAAATCAACATAAATTATGCAAAGTATTTTAAAAAACTTCAAAAGGAGAAATTTTCTATCCTTTGAAATTTGTTACAGTGATGTTTATAATTGCTTGAAATTCATGGAGATGCAAGTTTCAATTCATTACTATTGATATAATTTCTGTTTATTTGCATATTTAACATACTGGTGATACTACCTAATTTTTGTTGGCTTTTCAGGGCTTTGCACAATATTCTGTGCTATTTTATGGTTATTACAATAACCAAAGAACAATTGGATGGCTAAAGTTCAGGATGCCTCTTTCCTATTTCCTTGTTGGAGTTGGGACAATTGGCTACAGCTTTATGATTGTCATTCGAACGTAAGTTATTTTTTGCTCTGGAATAAAGATGCGGTAAGAGAGATATAACTCCAGTGTTGAATTACTGAGATTTTTATTTTCCTTTAAATGCATGAATTATGATAATTTTAAGAGCACAACAAATGCAAGAATGATAGAACTATAATGCAAGGGAGGCTGGCTTCCGCCAGACTCATAAGATCCCTTAGGCCTATGTATATATTTTTTCTTGCACTGGCAAATATAGCACAATCTTGTAGAAGTGGGAAAAATCTTTACTGAAATAACACAGTACATCTCTCTTGTAATGTAAATGTGTAAAATGAACACGCAAAGCAAGGAACAGAGCTGTCAGCTCATCTTTTTTTAGGATTCTCCATCTAGCAGGCGGTCAGCTTACATTGAGGAAATTCCGTTGTTCTTCCTTTAATGATATCTTATTGAAGTTAAATTATTTAAGGAGGAAGAAGACAAGAGAGGAAGAAACATATGGCAAATAATTCTGTGTATAAGTCACAGGCAGCAGTAAATGATTCTCAGCAAGACTACAGCACTTCACTCATATTTGCACAGTGGTATAGAAGAATTAATACTACTGGTTATAGTAAAGGCTTAGTGTCCTGTGGCAGACAAAATAATCTCCAACAGTGCTTTCCCAAGGAAAACTATATTTAATATAATGTTAAAAGCATAAAAGAACATGTTTAAGTGAAACTGTGCTTCAGCAGTGCAATCGGTGAGGCATTAGCCTTTCCAATTTTGTATTCTGGACTTCAGTTTTGTCTCTGGAACAGAATTAAAAAGAATGCTTATTCAGTCATGCTTTATGTATTGTTTCACTGTTGGAATAAAGTGTGATAAGTCTCCTGGTTTCAAAGGAGATATGTCACTATTGAATGTAGCCTTTATAGCCTAATATCCTTGATTCAAGTGAGACAGCCTACCACAATAAAAGTGGTTCGGTGGCAAGTTGGCTTTAGAATAAGCCTACCAAGAAAAAAAATCAGAGCATTGCAGTTTAAGATTCAAGGACACTTGTGAATACACAGTAGAAAATTGCAAATAATCTGTTTGCACTGTATTGGTATGAAACCAGAATTTTTTCACTTTCAAGAGCATTACATTAATTCATGTTCCATTTTTCAAATAATTCATGGTTTCCTGCATAGGGTGAGAGGCATTTTGGAAGAAGAATAATTTCTTCAATTACATATGAGTATATTGGAGAAAGAACAACCTATTTCAGTGAAAAAGTCACTAGTTTAGCTGGAGAACACCTTTCAAAATATTTCTTTGACAGCCTAGCTATGAAGATTAGAAATATTTTAGTCTTGAGGAATTATATTTCAATAACTGTCACCAGACCAGGAGAAAAAGAAAAAAAAATCCTATCAGCATGGAATCCCTAAGGCCCAAACAAAGGAAATACCCTAGGGAAAACCCATACTGTATGCACCGATTTTCCATTTGGCTTCATGACATGAGTGCTGATCTATATTTAGGTAAACTTAAGAGCAGTTCTTAAAATCTGCTTTTTGCCTTTTCTCCAGAAAGCAGTGCAGTTTGCACACAGGCTGAAAAGCCGTGTCTGGCGGGGCTAGTGTTGCTCTGTGTGCAACAGGGACCTGGGATAGGGAATGTTCCCATGCAAGAGGGAGGAAGAAGTATGAGGAGTGTTACTCTATTTAGGTAAAACATTTAGATTTAAAGGTCCTCTCGGCAATCCTCTCAGAGCACGGTATAAATGAAAATATTTCTAGTCTCAAAGCTATCAGTTTGTTTTAATTCCAAGGCAGGGACCTGTTTGACTCTTTCAGGCCCTCCTATCTCTCCACCTGCACCTAGCTCTCATCACACTGTGTCCTTGAGTCCTCACAGAGATGTTGTTTTGATAAACTTAAAGTGTGGAAGTTTTGAAGGTACTTTTAACTCCTTTCTCTCCTTGCTCCTCAGTAATCATAAAAGTTAACACATTAGTTGTAATTAGTTCTACTTAACTGAGGGCAACATTTAGATTGAGTGTTGTTCAGATCAGATGTTGTGAAATACGATTTTGGAGAGCATTTCTCTGAATATTTGTGGATAGACTGGGCGTCTTTCTATCCAAAAGTGAAAGGAGGTATGTCATGTAAAGCAGCTTAAGATGGAGTGGTATTCTGGAGTATAAGAACACTGAACATGTGCCAACCATGCCAAGTCTCATTCTCAAAATTACCTACTTAAGTTATACTATATATATACACTAACGCTCACTTATACTGGCATGCTAAATGGCAATGGCAAACACAAATAGGCAGTTAAATATCCTAATTCCTGTTATACACTTGTCAACCATCATTTTGATCTGGCTTTTTTTTTTTTTTTCTAACCACTGGACTGTTGGCCTTCGTCTAGAAAGCAGCAGTGGGGCAGATTCTCCCAAAGCCATTTTTTGATCCTTGTCCCCTCCATTTAAATAGTAACAATAAAAATATCAGCATGGGTTTATGCCAGCTCAGGATTATTTATTTATTGTTCCCTGAATGTATTTGAGAATATATATTTCACTGTGATGTTAGAAACCTGATATGTAAAACACACTGGTTTTAATAACATAACTCTGCTGCATTGGTCAGCTTTAAAAAAGCTGAGTTTTCCTGAACAAGAAATCAATGCAGAACCCAGGGCTAACTGGCTGCACCAATATATTTTGCCCTTGTGTTTAATGAGTTGAATTAATAGGTTAATTGTATAGACAGAAATAGGACAATTGTTATTGCATGAATTATTTTTATATATATTACACATGTATGCTTTATATGTGTGTGTGTGTGTGTATACCCTGCTTGTTATTAGATCTTGAAATAGAGAATTCAGTAGTTCCCATAAAGTCAAATCACTGAGGAGTGCATAGACGATGAAAGTCTAGACAGTTAGCTGTATTAATGAAATTTTGGGTTGATATGATCAGCTTTTGTTCTAGCTAGTTATTTTAGAATTTTTTTTCTCTCTCTCTGTGAAGTCTCTAATTAACTCTATAACAGTTCAGGATGTTCTACAGCTTTCTATTTGAGAGATCTTCTTGACATCTTATTTACCATTGAGTTTCTCATCCAGCAGAGCTCCTTGACAAAGAAAGAAGTAGATAAAAAATGAATGCAATGATGACATACATGATCTAAAATAAAATGAAAATCGTTTATCTTTTTCAATTCTGGCTCCAATCTGAAATCTCTGGATATAGTATTTCATTACTGACAGAAATAGTAATCTAATTGTTTAAGAACAAAGTTTTAGGAGCAACTATGAAAATTAAGCTCAGGTAAAACTAGTCCTAACAGGGCCTTTTTGTGTCTTTTGTAGTATGGCAAGAAACGCAAATGAAGATGGTGGTGGAGATGATACGAGTTTTAATTTCAGCTGGAAAATGTTCACAAGCTGGGACTACCTGATTGGCAATCCTGAGACAGCAGATAATAAGTTTGCTTCCATCACAACAAGCTTTAAGGTAAAATAGAGCTCACTGAGGAGAGGTAAGCTCATTTGTCTTCCATGGTGATGTGAACCAGAGAGAATTAAAGTCAAATATCAACTGTGTCTCGGATTTAGGTGCTCACATGTGAACTGGGCAGCTGTATACCTTTGTGGGACTGGGGTCTTTCTGTCATTCCATCATAACTCTTCTATCTTGGTTGTGGATGAAGAAGCATCCTTTGTGTCCTCTGTGACTGCACAATCAGTCTTAGCAAAATGAGTCTACTGTAAATGTAGATTACTGTAAATTGTACATTGTAAATTGTACTGTAAATTACTGTAAATGTAACATTACTTCTGTAATGTTTTCCTGGTCCTCATCTTTAGTGGCTTCTCATGCCATATGATGTCATATTGGTTTTCTTTTTTAATGCTGGTGACATTTTGCTAAGCTGACATTATCATGCTCTCCTTCTGTTCTGAAGGGATATAATTTGACAGCAATATCATTGCCTAGAAAGTGCTTTTCACTATATGAAAATAAATTGACTCAGAATCCTGTGTCTATACTTTCATTTCAATAGGAAAAAAAAAACTTGACTTCCTTGCATAAAAGGAAACTGTTGTTTTCAGATGAATTATGAAACATAGCATACTCTGCAATGCAATACCAGACCTTCTCAGGCTTGTTTTCATTTTTGGGCTATGATGATTTTAACAGTCACTTTGTGATGGATCTGAGGAGTGGGTCAGGTGCAAAAATAGCAGAGGGGCGGCACACTATTCAGTTGAAGGCTGAAGAAAATGTCTCAATGCCTGGGTCACTGGGACATGCCAGAGCAATTTCTAAAGGAAACTGTAATTTTCAGTACAGGCAATACTACAGCAGGATATTACCAGGCAATGACTTGTGGTCACACTGACAACACACAACATGGAGGCTGGAGGACCAAGTCACATTTACCTTTTCCAGTCACTTGCCTCATCCTTCTGTTCTGCACTAGTGATGTTAAGCCAATATACCACCTCACCCTGCCCAGATTCCCAGCTGCAGGCAGCAAATAGTAACTTTAGTCAAAGAAAGCGGAAATAAATGGTCTCTAAAAAACAAATACTGAAGAAATCCTAATTAGAATAAGTCAAGGACTGTGAGCTTTCTTTGCATATCTATTAGGATCAGTTGATGAAAACTGTATGGGGAAGAATATAAAGCAGCTGAGATAGGGTTTTCTTGACAAGTAATCCTATGCATCTTTATTATAATCTTTTCAAGCAAGCAAGAAACCAAAGTGTTGGTGAAGTCTTGGTCTGGGCAAGGCCATGGGAATTTTGCTCAAGAGCTTCTGCAGTCGTCCTGTGTTAAGAAAAGCAGACACACACAGAATAATAGTGCGAGTGCAGGAGTTTAGCTTCACCCCTGCACAGCCTATCTCCTTCTCTGAAGTCAGAAGTTGTAACTAAATTCCCTTTTCACAAGGACATCTCAGCGTTAAAATTCTTTCTAGTGGCAAAAGTGGGAGCTGGAGATTAAAGTTACACCACAGCCTTAATACTTATCATCCTGGCCAAGGGTGCATATGAGGGAAACTTTTTATTTTCCAGTATGAAGCAGTGCACTTCTTGACTTGTTTGGGATTCATTCCTGTCTTTTCCTTCCTTCTGATTTGGTTACACTCAAAATGAAAGTTTTTGCCATTTTCTCACTAATGAACTTATTTTTAACCCTGACAGTTGCTTTTGGGGCAGCTAGTCACACATTTATCTCTCTGGATTACTCAGCCTTGGAGCACCTCACAAACTGACAGAAAGGGGTGGTTGCTTTTTAGCTCATGAGTGCAAGTGCAGCGAGGCTCCAAGGGGACATAGTCACTAGATGCAAAGCAAACTCTGGGCAGTAAAAACCCCAGGGCCTACCAGAGTACAGTAAAGAGTTTTTGAAACAGTGTGAGCTGTTCTCACCAAATTGTGACCAGACGTGCATTGGGATCTTCACAATTTACTTAACTGAGTTCTAACAAGTCGGGGGACAATGTGGAAGCTGACTCTGAAAGTGCAAATAACACTCTTTTGTTTCTAACAAGTGCAGGAAGCTATTGTGGAGGAGCAGGAGAGCCGGAAAGAGGAAAATATTCACTTGACTCGATTCCTGAGGGTTCTTGCTAACTTCTTGGCCCTGTGCACGCTTGCTGGGAGTGGTTACCTCATCTTTTTTGTTGTGAGAAGATCCCAGAAATTTGCCCTGGAAGGTCTGGAGAACTACGGGTGGTGGGAGAGAAATGAAGTTCGTGCTAGCACATTTTTATAATAGATGTGGTTTGAAACTGTGTTTCTATGCTTTGCATGTTGCCTTTTTCTGTCTTTTTTTGATTTTTTTTGTTCCTCCTGCTATTTAAATACTTTGGGTGTGGGTGGTAAATGTCTAACAAAGCAATCATTCTTGTCTCCCTGCTTCCTGCTTCATTAAAATGATTTTTTTTGGTTGCTTCTTTCAAATTTCCCTTAACATATAATTTTTATGTGATGATCTTGCTTTTTCTTCTCTGTGCCACTAAGATGTTTTTTCAGTTGGTCTATGGATTCACAAGATTCCTCCAAAGAGCCTATTGTCCTCTTGCTTTTTCCCCTTGAGACTGGTACAGGCAAACTGGCACTGGTGTGTGGCATGTGCTGCGTTACCCAGGGCCTCATGAATATGACTCTGCAGTACAGCAAGAAGGTGAAACTTAAACTATCCAGCTACAGCTGCCCCATTCAGGAATCCAATGCCATTTTTAGAGTGAGCACCTCTTGCACATGTCTGGTCCTGCTTAATGGAAGTATATAGCAAAAGTAAGTGTGTCATAGTGGTTTGCAGTATGCACCTGATGTCACCATCACCATATAGGAATCTGGGCAGATTCTACTTTCTTAACAAACACACTGTGGTGTATGTAGTAAAACTATCCGTTCCTTCTTTGACGCTTATATTCTGAATGAGTAGGTAAAACAGATACCAGATTTAAGGTAAGGCAAAAGGATGCCAACCTGCCAAAGCTTCTAGCTTATAATGATGATGGGATGAGGAAGGTCACTCCCTAGTTTTGAACATCAAAAAACAATTGGGAAAGTAAGATAAAAAACTCCAACAGTCCATCTTTGTAATTCAGAGAAATGGGGCTGTTGACATTGCATGAAATTATTTGAAAAAATATTTCATTTTCCTCTAATAAGAAACAGAAGGCATGCACAAAATTGCTTGACTTAAAGAAACATGAACTCCAGGTGTGATGGCAGACTCTCAAATGAAGGTAATTCAGGAGGAATCCAGCTCTTTCTCGTTCAAAAGGTGTATTAACAGATCTGTGATGATGAAAAGCTGTTATATCAGCTAATGTTGCGATCTGCAGAGCGGTTAAACATATCCATGTTTACATTTCAAGGGATCTTTGTTTGTTTGTATGCTTTACCAAAAAAAAAAAAAAAAAAAATGCTGCTAAGAAGGCTCTGTACCACAGAGCTAGGATAGAGAGCAGCTTTTCCTAAGAAAGGCTGGATAAGGCAGCTTTATTAGGATTTCAGTAGAGCTACCTATTGGCAGATAATGAACCAAGTTGCAAGCTACACACTATTTCGCTTGATTGGAGACTAATCATTTAGTTAGATGAATAAATGAATTTGCCTTCTTCCTAAACCCATTTAAACCTTTATTATTATTATTATTTTCTAGATAAGTCTAAATCCTGATAATGTTTGTATTATGACGAAACACTGAGATTTTTTTCAGAAAATGTCCATTAACACTTGATGGACTATTTAGAGTAAATGAAGCACAGCTCTTACATACAACTGAAGTACATGTCTTACCTACGTCCTATTTTTCTCTGGTTATTCTCCTCTGCCATGGTCCTGCAAACCTATACAAAACTGTCTCAGGCTCAGTGAGGCTTAAATTCTTCTCCATTGCAGCAGCACCTAGTCCCATGGGATCATGGCTCAAATGAGACAATCTAGCCCATGATGGGGAGGAGAAGATAATTTTGTGATACAGACCAACAAGGGCCTTTACAGTATTTAATAACGCTTTATATCCTATCCCATCCTATGCATGTCTGAAGCATGGGTAGCATTTCTGGACCAATTGTGAATCATTTGGGAAAGGAAAAGATAGGTGATAAACATTTTTTTCTAGATGCAAATATATAGAGAACTCACATTTAATTGCTATTTATCTTATAGTTCCTAGCAGTAGAGATTGACTAGTGCACTTATACAAAATCAAAGCTCAGTTTTAACTCTAGAAACCATCCTACAGCTTTTATTATTACAAAATATACTTCTATCCTAATTACTTTTTAAAAGTAAACTGTATTTGCCAGAAAAAGAGATTGCTATTGCTGCTTCCTGCAGCAGATGCTAGACAAAGCACAATCATTGTTGGTGGAAGAAATGATTTATATAAACTGCTTACTCTTAATGAACTTATAATTTAGCCTACAAGCAGTCAGTGCTCAGTATTAAATGTTGTGTTGGTGGAGTTTAACATATGGGGTTGCTGGTGTTTAGATGTGACTACAGTCATGCATTTCTTATGAAAGTTGCAATAGCTGGAAAAATAGGCTATACAAACTGTAATTTTCTAGCTTTCAAAGTGACATGCAGGGGCTTGGTCTCTGCAGTAGTTAATCTCACAGAGAGATAAAAGAATAAAATAATGTGTTTAGAACCACAGTTTTCACTAATTAGTGGGTGTCTCCTGATTGTTGTTTCATTCTTACTGAGAAATCTCATCTCTGCAGGGCATGGAGTGCTTTTGAAATTCACTCAGCAGATAGATACTGAATATAAGACCATGGTGTCCATTGAGTATAACTCTATCTTGCATGCATGTTGCCCCTCTGCTGGCATATCTTTCTATAATTTTTAAGAAGTCAAACTTAACACTGGCACTGTCCCCAGTATAAACAGTAGAAGAAAATCTGGCTCCAGCACCTGAAACTGGAATGGAACAAAAATACAAAAAATCGAGCCCTTTCCAAAAATGAAAATGTATTTATAAAATTTTCATTAGTCATGATTATGTTTTGAATCACAGAACCAGTCAAAATCTTGGGATTTTGAAAATTCAATACCCATGTTTATCTCAATAAAACTCTGCACTTTTGGTTACAATCCCTCCCCCTTCTCAGCTTGGCAAGTTTCTGTGCCTTGTTCACCTCTCATCCAAACATTTTTTTCTGCCAGAATTAGTAATGCTCCCAAGAAGGGGGACATGAATATTCAAAGCATGAAAAAATATATAGGTAAAACAAATGAACATGCTTGCTTTAGATAAGCAGTAAAAAAGTTAGAATATAATAAAAATAGGAAAAATACTGGATTTCTTAGACAAAGAAAAGTAGTAATTTCTGTGTTGCCTTTCGTATAATGCACCAACAAGAAAGCTTTCAGTAAGCTTAGCAGATGCTATATTTAAAACATACTGTAGGATATACCTTTTCTTCTAAATTCACATTCACTAAGTCTTCCAGCATAAGAAGTAAAGAATATCAGTGAGTCAAGTAGGATTCAGGTTAAAAAATGCAATCAAATAAAAAATAAAGAAAAATGTTTGACCTTGTCTTGTTGAGTCCTGGACATCTGCCAGGCTAGACCAAGTCTGGTGACCCAGAATGCCTGTTAATGTGCTATCCTTATGTTTTATGATATGTTCATATGTTCAACAGGATCATAACAGGGCTGAGTATTTCACCTGGTAACTGTGATGATAGGCAGCCTGTTGCAAGACGTTTATATCTTGAAGATTCATGACTGGTCATGTCGGCTGTTGCTGACTCCAGCATCTGGAGCAGCAGAGTCTGTATTTGCCATTTGCTGCTATATCTGACATTGTTTGGCTTAGTGGGGACTGAGATAAAATATGTTAGAAACAATGTTAGATACTTAGAAGATATTAAGACAAAAATGTTTGCACACTTTATGCTTATGTAAAAAATATCTGATGTGTTAAGCACTGGCATTTCATCCAGAGCTTAATCCTCTAGTGTTTAGTACTCTCTTCTAAAGGTACCAGGGAAAAACAAAAGATCCACAATTTCCATAAAAGACGTATATATATGTATATATTATTGATTAAGGTATGAAACCCATCAGACGTCAAAATAATAAGGTCAAGGAAATTTAAATATAAATCCTACCTTTCCAGTTATAAGGAAGTGACAGCAGCTAAGTGTTTTTGTTTCTTCCTTTTTTGCCAGTTATGAGAAATAGTAACTTACTGTTATTTTAACTAGCTAATCCCAGTGACAAATAACACTGTATGAATAGACAGAGAACATCAATGGATTATCACAGTCATTAATAAACTACCTATGAATTAATTGTATTTCTTGCACAATATCACAAGGCATGTTCAAAATGTACTATTGATTGCACACAAAACAGAAATTGAATAATTAGTTCCAGAATTCATTAGAAAACAAGAACTGAAGAAGAGGAAAAGGAAAGTCATTTATTTCCTTTAATTTAAATCACTAGTCCAATAGAAAGTTTTGTAAGAGTGAGAATATATACATTTATAAGTGGATAATTTTTTTTTGGTACAATAACTTGCTGCTGCTTTTGAGAACAAAGATCCAGTCTTAACTCTCTAGATAGGAGGAGGTTAGACATGTATTAAAATTTGTATAAATTTTAGCAAGATGAATTCTAGTGTGGCTGAGAAATGTTAGTTTCAGAGCAATTGGAAGATTAGTTATCTGTAAATAATAACATTTTTTGTTATTATGTTAATAATATTTCCATGCTGCTATGATGATGAGCTAATGGTTTTAGAGGCTTCAAAGAGCAATAAGAAGGAAGGAGAAGGATTGACTTGAATTTGCCTGTGCAAGATGTTGAATTAATTTTGGGTGAGATATCAGAGAAATTTAATTTAGTAGAGTACAGTACAGAAAAGGACCTTTTATCTACAGCTATCTCCTGTACTGATTTTTCATCCCTTTCTTTCTTTCTTTGTGACTCCTGAGACTGATTTTGCTTCTCGTTAAATCAAATACCAACTGAAAAGTACTGGTGGAGATGCACTCCACTAACCAATATGCATAATAATCAGAAACTTGCCTCTAACATTTTACTTTTTTTTTTTTCTTTTTACCAAGGTGAACATGGTGATGTCACTTTTAGGAATGTTCTGTCCAACACTTTTTGATGTGATCAGTTCTCTGGAAAACTACCACCCTCGCATAGCTCTAAGATGGCAGCTGGGACGCATCTTTGCTCTTTTCCTTGGCAATCTCTACACTTTCATTATTGCCCTGATGGACGAGATCAATCTCAAGGCAAGCTATTTACAGTGGACTTCCCTTCATAATTTTTAGCAGCTAGCAGGGCAAAGACAAGGATTTTTAGCCATTCCACAAACTTGCCAAGGAAATTATTTCTTTGCTAAGAAGCATGTCCATGCCTGAGCTGGAAATGGGAGCCTTAGAGTAGGTAAGGTTGAGAACTGGTAATGCAAGCTAATAAAGTTGTTTTCCTATTTGTTTATTTTTTAGTTGGAAGAAGAGAAGATAGTCAAATATAACATGACAATATGGGAAGCTAGTCTGTATAATGGTACTATTCCAGAAAATTCAACTGCTCCTCCCATACAGGTGGACCCTGCAGATGTCCCAAGAGGGCCTTGCTGGGAAACAATGGTAGGACAGGTAATGCAACTGAGCCTATATTTGAAAACAAATCATAATCTATTTTCATATAAAATCTCTCTCTGTTTTAGTTGTTGGGTGGCATTAAATCAGGAAAAGAATGAACAAAATGCAGATATGGGACAAGATAATGACAAGGTCCTATTTTTTTCCTTACTTATAAAGCTGAGAAAAAGATATTTTAGTTTCTTCAAATGCCATCTAGTAAGAACTCATTTATTTCTCCTGATAGCTGACAGCATCTGATATTAGAATTTTGATCAGACAAGACCAATTTCTCACTAAAACAGGCCTATATCAAAGATAAAAAAAAGAGTAGCTCAGCAGGGAAATATACATAAAATCAAATCTTGCCAGCAGTGTGAATTTGAGAAGGTATCTCTATCTTTAACTAGGTAGTGTGCTGCATTGCAACAGCAGTAGCTTAATAGGAAACCTGAACAGCATTTTATTTGATTCAGAACATCCATACTTATTGATTTATTCATCCAGACATCCATTATTAATGACTTATAATATGCCATTTCCAAAGATTTCTCCAACATCTCCTATTCCTCTGTTTAGTCATCCCTCATTCTTCTTGTTGTCTTGTTCCTGAGATGGAATAAACCATTGCATTACAACCTCTGGTGTTGTTCCACCAGTCTCCTAGTCTCCCTATCTGGTTAACTCCAGTCCTGGAGAAGACCCTGGTAGGGAACAGAAAGGATGGAGATGACAGCGTCTCTGGTCTTCTGCTAGTGCTGAGGTACAAGTGATGAACACCAAGAGCTCATCACTGTGCTAACTTTCTCCTTAATTTGAGAATTTGAGATCAGAGTGAATAACAGTCTTGTGGGAAACTGGGGATAAGACCTGATATGGTAGAGTTTGGCGGGGCTTACTGAAAGTATATTAGAGAAATGAGGATTTTTGCTAGGATTTTCTTCTTTCATCCCCCGATTTCATGAGTTGCTACTTAGGTATTCCATAAACCTAAGTAAGCTTTTTTTTTTTTCTTTTAATCTTCTAGTATTAACTGACCAAGAGCTGTTTTCATGGTATACAAGATAAATTACTGCAATCAGAATAGTGGGAAACCAATTTTTATGCATTTTTATGATTTCTATTATGGGGACTAAAAGGGATTTCAGATATCAGGAAAGAATTGTATTTTAGCAGCAGTTTTGGTTGGAAGGCTTCACTACCCTAATTGTACTCTGAAATTCTTGACTTGTATATGAATACAAATTACAACAACAAATGAGGGGCAGTTTTTCTCCAGATATCTTTTAGAATTAGTTAATGTATAGGAGGAATAAAAAATCTGTTCTATGTTGAATCATAGTATGCACATATAGAGACCTAGTCTGTTTTTTCATTATTAGTGTAATTTTAATTGCCTAATATTCTTTAAAGATTTTTTTTTTAACAGGAATTTGTGCGGCTGACAGTCTCTGACACAATGACTACATATATCACGATTCTAATTGGTGATTTCTTGAGAGCTGTCTTCGTTAGGTTTTTCAATTACTGCTGGTGCTGGGACTTAGAATATGGATTTGTAAGTATCTGACTTCCAGGTTCAAATGTCTTTGTTAGATTATCAGTTGACATTTTTTTAGTAAATTTACATTTTCCTCTCAAGCCTTCAGAGTTTATCTTTGACTAGACAATTCACCTTTAATATCCCTGAACCACAGTAAATGTTAGCTTTTCTCAGAATTGTCTTTATATCTGCCACATTCTGCAGGCTTTGGTAACCTTAAGAAGTACATTTTTATTCACTTGATTATGCAAGCAAACTGGGTATACATTTTTGACTCGTTTCCATTTTGAAGCCTCATCTTGAGTTCTCCAAAAGACAATGGAAGAGTTCTCACTGACTATTGTGGACTTACAGTCAGACTCAAATAGTTTCTAACATACTGAGACATCCAGTGTTTGTGAGGAACAATATGAGAGGTTGCTCTAGAAATTTTATTAGCTATATTTTCTGCTGGAATTAGTTTAGCTGAAACGAAGCTAATGAGTCCTGTAGCATAAATATGTGAGTATACCAGCTTCTCACTCCAGAGAAACCTTTTCTCTTTTAAACAGATCTGAGATAGCTTTGAATTACCAGGATAGCTGCACTGACGACTCCAGTTTTCACCCTTGCCAGGGTACTGGGAAAGATTAGGAAGCCTCCTGAGGCATCTCTTGTGCATGCTAACTGCTATGGAAAAGAGCTAAGTCATGTAACTTATGTGTGTGAAAACCTATAATAGCTGTCTTGCCATCCTCTTATCGTCCTCACTTCCTCATAGCTTTACCTGCACAAGTATATGCTTTTCTTCTTTGAGTAAGTACCATTTTGGGAAAATGATTAGTACTCAGGGAAAGGGAAGGTTTTGTTCTTCTTGTGGCTTCTGGTATGACAATCTCACAGATATTGTTGAACCACTATGTAATTTGAGCTGTTATAGCAAGGTTCAATTTTCTCGCTGTTAATTGAGACAGGATGACTTAACCAGGGCTGGCATAGGGCTGAGAGAGACAATCAGCCAGACAGCTTGTGGACAAACAAGTCATACCCTTTGCAATATCAATATCAACTGCTGCAATTTGAACATAGTATGGGTGGAGAGCCAGCAGCTTGTGAAGCTCTGGAGCAGTGTATTTACTTAAATTGCTTCTGGAGCTTTCTCATATTTTCATATGTACTGCAGGCATTCATAAAGCTGAGTCTGGATGTTGAGAATGGAAGAATCTAAGTACCCTTAGCTGGAAATAGCTCAGACTTCATATTTTCCAAAGATGCTGAATTGATAGTCTGGACATTTCCCCTTTAATATCGAAGATCAATGAAAGAGCCTAAATGAGTGCAAGCCTGAAAGTCATTCCGATGACTGTAAGACAGACCCTTCACTTAAGGTGACTTTGCTTCCTTTTGCTACCTTTTGGGTTTCCCGAAGCTGCTACTCTATTGCCACTTACTCTGAACCAACTGCTCATTACATAGGTACTGAGAAAGATGAAGGGTAGCTGGTAGGAGGATGAAAAAGGTGATGCAGATTATAAGATACGTATTACAGGCATCCAAGGCCAAAGATGGCAGCCTTTAAATTGTACTGAATAGCTAAGAAATACAGACAATCGATCTCACTCCTCATTCTCTACAGGAATTGCAAATGTCCATGTTAGATCTATAAAAAACTCTCAGATTAGTTATGACTTGGTTTGTGTTGTATATCTGAGAGAGGTAGGCTACAAGGAGCCTTCTCTCACTGTACCCATTGGTGTATCCACAATCAAAAACATAGTGAGGATGTCTTTGGGCAAGTGGATGCTCAAAGCCTCTGCATTCTAGCAAGCCATGCAATAGAGAGGCTGTAAGGGATCAAAGGATATTTTTGTTTAACACTCCAATCAGCAAGCTATTGGAGCATGCAATGGGATTACTCATGCATTTAAAATGATATCCTTATGTGCATCAAAGTGCTATTGCCCATTGTGCATTTGACTTGGCAGAGAGAAAGAGCAGACTGTCATGGACATGCAGTTGATATTTTCCTCTCACCCTTTTCAGGGTAGCACAGAAGTTAGCATCCTGAATGATACAGCAAGGTACAAATCTCACTCACAGGATTTAAAGCATTCGCTAAGGTTAGAGTTCAGCTGAAATACAGTTTCTCATGCTATTTGAAATACCCTAGGATATCCAGGGCAACTGAATGAGGTTACATGATCTGTGTGACGCCTCCAATGTCCCGGAGCTAAGCGCCATACTGTAGGACAGAATGGCTTGAACTGGGGCTGCAGGTTGGAGAAGCACCAGTTTGTCCGCTGAGCTTCAGGGTTATTCTTTTTGTTTGCCTTTTTATCATTGCTTATGCTAAAGGAATATGCTATAGTAAATGAATCAATCAAACAAAGCTTATAAAGCAGAGAGCTTTAATCGAGGTTCTGGACTAAAGAGCTGCATAGATACTGTCCTTTCTAATCAGTCAGCCTCATACAAGCAGTGATAGTATAGGGAGTTGCTCTTGACTGTTGAAGGCCAGGAGAGTCAACCTCCTGCAGAGGGTTCACTACAATTTATGAGAGCTGCAACATGTCTTTCCAGGAATGAGAGGATGCCTCATTTCCATAATACATTATTGTTCTCAAAACACCAACAATGCATTTTTCGGGAGGGGTACTAAGCATGTATTAGTTGTACAAACAGAATTATTAGTGCCCCAAGGAAAAGATCTGCTGCATTTCCATCTTTGGAGATATACAAAACCCACTGGGATGTGACCCTGTACCACATGCTCTAGGTGTCCCTGCTTGAGCAGGGAGGTTGGACTCGAAGACCCCTAGGGATCCCTTCCAACCTCAACCATTCTGTGATTTAAAGAATGAACGGCTCAGAAATTGCTGATTTAAGGAATCAGAGTTGTTGCTGTAGCCTGGAATCATTCTGTTGATTTTTCTGTGTAAAAAAGAAAGCAGGCAGTTAATCTAAAGGAACATCCGAAATGCAATATTTTTCTGAATCTTTACATTGCTAGAGAACAAAGAATTAGGAATCTGTAGGTGAGTTGTGCCCATATTTTTCATTTGTTTGACAGACTTACATCTGAAAATCACTCTCTGTTCTCTTGACAGTTTCTAACCTGATCAGCAACACATATTTAGCAAACTTAGCTGATAGTTTCTATTGGTACCATAGAATCCAATTCATTATTAGCAAAACAATGATTTTTTTTTTGGCACTATGTAGGAGGGGCTGTACTGGGTTCCTCAGGTCCAATATCCTGTATCAGACATCAGCAGCAGTGGAATTGCAGACCGAAAACCACTGAATTTCTGGAAAACTCTATGCTTCCTAAGCAAGACACTGTATTTGTGCCATCGTAGTTAGCAGTTGTGACAAAAGCTACAGAAGTAGCTACGGGAGTAGATTTTTGTTCGTTAATTTTCAGACTTTTAAAAATCCTTAAATATTTTTATTAACCAAAACATACTTCGACAATGAATTTCACAAACTAGTTTGCATGCAGTGTAAAAAAAGTGCTCCCTCTGATTCTGCTACCTCCTACATTATGAAAAACAGTAACACATTATTTGGGTCCATAAGATGCTATTCATCTTCTCCACATTATTTATGATATTCTTTCCTCCCTGTATAGATCCCTTTAGTCAACTATTTCTAGGTCTGTTTAGTTGTTTTTTGCATGGAAGAAATTTCATGAATGCAAATAACATAAATATATAAGTTTAAGGCAAGCATGCACATTAATGTCCCCACATGCACACAACACAACACTAGAAAGAGCACAGGGGCTGAAAATATTCCAGCAGTATAGTCCAAAGGAGTGACTCTAATCTGGCCCTTTTCAGAGAATATCTTTTGCTTGATTCAGTATCAAAGGTCATGTAACTCATGACCTTACTCCCTCTATCAGTTATCAATAATTATTACTGGGACAGTATACATCATTCATGTGCTTCTCATCCACTCACTACAGTGAATCATTCAAGTCACCAGCTGTGGTGCAGTACAGCTGACTATTACAAGAGATCTGATTAAATAAAATGTTGTAACAGAGCAAAACCCTACGGATAATATGTTGAAATCAAACATTTTGGTGTAAAAGAGAAATTCACAGATTTTATTTTGTTTTCGAAGGTTTTGTTCAGGTGTGCATGCATACAACCATGTGCACTCAAATGAATACTTGTGCTTCTAGATCATTGCTGTCAAACGCAGTGTATTTTTGCAGTTGAAAAATGAAAATTGGAATTGAAAAGAATTGAATTAATACTACCATAATAAATATGATAAGAGAAGACCCGTAGAAATGATTTAAGGTCTGGAAAAACAAAATGAGACGATTAGTTCAGAGAAGACTACAGAATAATTTGATGGCAGTATATACATCTGCAACATGATACTCTTCAATTTTGCAGGTAATGCAATAATGAGAACTGATGACTAAGTTTTGAAGTAAAATTTGACCAAAATAAGATATACATTTTAAACAGGAAAGGCAGTTATCACTGGTACCATCTATCAGTTCTCGAAACAGACTCTTCAACAGTAAAATTATTAAATTTAAAACATGAAAAATACACTATAGTTATACTATACTACAGTGTAGTTAAAACAGGAATTAATTCAGGAAAACCTCATGGTTTGTGCTTTACTGGAGAGCAGACAACAATCATAATCTCTTTTAGCGACTGCAATTAGAAATTGACAAATTGTTATTTTAAAATCTTTCCAGTACCCAGAACCCTTTTTTTTTCTCTTTTAACAGCTATTTCTGTACCAACAGCTCAAAAGGATCTTTAGCAAAATGCTGCAAGCTGCATTAAAGTCTGTCTATTGGCTTTGAGTCATACTAATTTGTTTCATGTTTCACTGATAATATGCAACAAGAGCCTTGACAAGACAATGCCAGTATGTTTGTGCTGTTGGAAGTGACAGCTTTAATCTGCAAATCATCTTAAAATGCTTTGTGCAAATGTAATGAAAGCGTTTGTGTTATTTCTTTCAGCCATCATATTCGGAGTTTGATATAAGTGGGAATGTGCTGGGACTGATCTTTAATCAAGGCATGATCTGGTAGGTGTTGCAAAAGATGTTGTGTGTTTTATGAGTTAGGAGTCCCTGCAGGAATGTAAGAATATGCAGTATCTGTAAAACTTCTGAAATGCTGATCCTACCTCATTACTTCAGTCTGATAAAAATGTAAGTGTATCCGTAAGTGTGGGATAGATGAGTGGGCAGTGAGGGGGATTAGGAACTGGCTGGATGGCAGGGCCCAGAGGGTGGTGATCAGCGGTGCAGAGTCTAGTTGGAGGCCTGTAGCTAGCCGTGTCCCCCAGAGGTCAGTCCTCGGTCCAGTCCTGTGCAATTTATTCATCAATGACCTGGATGAAGGCAGAGAGTGCTCCCTCAGCAAGTTTGCTGATGATACCAAACTGTGAGGAGTAGCTGATACCCCAGAGGGCTGCGCTGCCATCCAGAGGGACCTGGACAGACTGGACAACTGGGCGGTGAAAAAAACCTCATGCAATTCAACAAGGCCAAGTGCAAGGTCCTGCACCTGTGGAGGAATAACCCCAGACACCAGTACGAGGCCGCATCTGGAGTACTGTGTCCAGTTCTGGGCTCCACAGTACAAGAGGGATGTGGAGCTGCTGGAGACAGTCCAGCGCAGGGCTACAAGGATGATCAGGGCCTGGAACATCTGCCCTATGAGGAGAGGCTGAGGGAGCTGGGCCTGTTCAGCACGGAGAAGAGAAGGCTGAGAGGGGATCTGATCAGTGTCTATAAGTACCCCAAGGGAGGCAGTGAGGAGGATGGTGCTGGCCTCTTTTTAGTGGTGGCCACTGATAAAACTAGAGGAAATGGCCAGAAACTGAAGCATCAAAAGCTTTACAGGAAATTAAGGAAAAATTTCTTAACAGTGAGGGTGACAGAGCTCTGGATCAGGCTGCCCAGAGAGGTTGTGGAGTCTCCTTCTCTGGAGATCTTAAAAACCCGCTTGGATGCAGTCCTGTGCCACGTGCTCTAGGTGACCCTGCGTATGCAGTGGGGGGGACTAGATGACCTCTGGGGGTTCCTTCCAACCTTAAGCATTCTATGATTCTATGATTCTAGTCTAACTCGGGCACATTTCAACTAATGGAAATATATTAAAAACAGTTCTGGGATAAGATTATGGGGGGTCAAAGGTATTTTGCCATGAGCAAGTAAGACCAACCAGTCCTTTGTGACAGCAGAGCAAGCAGCTGGTCAGTACCATTTTGCTTTGAATTTTAAAACATCTTATACTCTTTTCCCATGCGCCCATGTGAAAAAAGCCTTGAAACAAATTTCTGTGTGTGTGTGTGAATAAAATGTTAGCATAATAGGATGAGTCCTTGACAGTGCTATATGGAAGATATCAAATTTCCTCACGTTTCTGTTCTTTGTCTTAGCTGGGTTTGCTGAGTAAGTGAATTGTCAGGTCCTCATGTGAGATGTTCTCCCTCAGGAACTGTCCTTCTCAAGAATTGTTGACTGCTCATCTGAATAACTATTGTTTAGACCTGATTTATTTAACTTTACTCTGCTGGGCAGACTTTTTGCTTGGTGGAAGCACCCAAGGCTATAATGCCCAAGGAGAATTATAAGCTCACTGGCTTGCTCAGATGAGGGGTGTACTGGTAGGATGAGGATGGCATCAACCATGACCATATATCTGCTGTGTGCCATCAGGGCATGGGTAGAGTGAGTCCAATATGAAGTTAAATAATCAGCTTAGCTTTGCAATCAGTATGTTCCTGTCCATCTTAAGAGTGGCATCCTAGTTTCTAATAGCAAAGATTTCTCAGACAGCTTTTTACCAAAATTATGAGTCTGCAGTGTAACCAGTGCTCACACACTTTATCCACAGTTGGTCACACTCATTCTTTCTGATGCTGTTAATTACCACTTTGGAAATTACTCTGTAATTGAAATAAGTGGGAGACTAGATGGGGGAAGAGATTCCTGGTTACTGCCTAAAAAAAACTTCTGTAGATAGTAGCTATGATTTTATACCTCATAACACATACAGACTTTGTGCTTCCATGGCACAATATCCCAAAATGTGTGATGTGTGTCTTAGTGATGCTAGTGATGCTATATAGATACAGCATCTAGCTTACTACCTTTCTATGTTACTATTAATTGCAGAACAGAGATCACATTTACATGCCAATTGATATTTGCTGGGCCAAGTAAGGTACTAGACCTGTTTTTTAATTATTTTTATTTTTAAAAAAGATCTGAACTAAACAGAATAGTAAAAAAGGTGACTGAATTATAGTGGATATGTACTTCAGAAACTCTGTTATTATATATAGGATGAATTTTCTTCTGTTTCATATAGTTTTAGATATTTCATTGTACATGCTTGAGTTCATCTGAAACAGAATACACCTGGTGAGTTGGCTGTAACACAGAGCTGGAAAGGATGTGAAAGTATGTGTTCATTTATAGTTCTGTATGAGTGAGAGACCATGTGCTTAGGAAATTTCCTTTCTTCTCTTTCTCTCTTTTCTCACAAACTGAGTAGATTGCAAATCATTTGCAGTTTTCTCCATACTGATGTGACATCAGAAAGAACTCTTCTGCCTTATAATAGATGCTATACCTATAACTTACAATAGCAGTCATGCATTATCCAGAGTTTCAGATGATTGCCAAAGCTGAATGTTTTGCAATGTTTTCCATGAGCATAACAGGGTCAGTAAGTGCTCTCTACCTTCACCCATAGACTACTGAAGTCTTTGCTGTTTTTTCTCATTAAAGATAGATGAAATGAAGGAGAGATATCAATATCAGATATTAATTCTGTCATGATATCACTGGACTCTGGGAGAAAGAGAGAAATAGATCTATTTCCTATTTTATAAATATCAAAATTGAGGCACTCAGGCACAAAGTGGCTCAGCCTTGGTTACCTGGCCAGTGGTCAAGGAAGAAGATGATTCCTGATCCATTACATTCTGCGTCAACTGGCCAGGCTGATGAAAATGATTGCTCTTCAGTCAGCATGGCACAATAACGAGGTCAGATAAAAATAAAATGGACTCAGATGTTTCAGTCTTATAACGATGCAACTGTAGATAATAAAGAAAACAAAATATTTTGGCAAATCAACAAGCAGTTCATTGGAATGAGGCACTAAATAACTGTGGTTACAAAAGTAAACTAAATGTCAACTTAACAAAAATATCCTTCCTATAGCAGTGCTAATATATAAAAGACATAATGAATAAAACGATTATCTAAGTTTGAGTTGTCTTTCTGTAAACCATTATCATCATCATCATAATAAAAGTGAGATTCTACCTGAATTAAAGGGTCAAAGAGTGGATAATATTTTTTAAGTGATTATTTGCAGACAAAAAGGGCTTTAGAATTTTGAGAGAAAATTTTTGTACAGTTTTCTCCATATGGATGAAGGTCTTCTAAAAGAAAGATTGGGGAGACCAGATCAGTAAAAAAAAAATGTAAACATTTTATGTATCAGATTTCTGATTATGTGTCTGTAAAACAAGAATATGAAAGAAGGGAATGGGTGACCAATCTAACAAGACAGACATTCCCCAGCAGACTGGTTATATTTTGTTTGTTTGGTTTCTAGGATGGGATCTTTTTACGCACCATGCCTCCCAGCGATCAACGTTTTCCGGCTCCATACTTCCATGTACCTCCAGTGCTGGGCAGTGATGTGCTGCAATGTGCCCCAGGAGAGGGTGTTCAAGGCTTCCAGATCCAACAACTTCTACATGGCCATGCTGCTCTTCATTCTCTTCCTGTCCACCCTACCTGCCGTTTACACTATTGTCTCCATCCCACCCTCTTTTGACTGTGGTCCTTTCAGGTCTTTTGCATTTTATGTACATGTTTTGCTACTGATGAGATGAAAGAACTGTCCCATACCATTGCAATTAATGACTCAATAGTGAAAAGGAATTTTCTTAAGAAGCTTTAGTGTCTGATAGGATGAATGCTGCATCATATTTTAATTGTGCATAGTTTGAAGCTGAAATTCTAGGAATTTTTCTGAGCTTCTCCTGAAATGTAGATTTTTTTTTTTTAAAGTCAGGAGTTATTTTAGGAATAGGGCTGTGACCTGGTAGGTGTCTCTTGTGTATTGGCTTGAGAATCAGTGTTGGGGGATATATCTCATGTGCCATGCATCACCTGAAGCATTGGTGAGTGGTGGACCACCAACAAGGTGCTGCTCTGAATTTCTGCAGTGGCACAGGATTCTATTTCATGCAGCTGTAGTATTACATCAGTGATGCTGAATCTGTTTCTCAGGTCTCAAGACCTCCATATTTGCTAGTCTCTTCTGAAAAAAAAAGGGCTGCTGTACTGTGCAAACACGTGCCCTGTGTACGAGTTAGCTGAGGTGCAGTCACAGTGCCTCTTCCTGTGCTTGTTACCACGGGAAAGTCCAAGACCATCCTCACTGTGTCTACTTGCCTCTTAGTATGAGACAGAACTTTAATGAGTACACAACAGCAGCCAATGTAAAAATGCAGATTTTTTTAAAAGCCTTCAGATTTTTGAGCAAAGCATGAGTAGGGCAAGAACAGTAGAACACTAAAACAGGCTTCCTGATTCCAGTGAAGGTCTTGAATAATACATCACTGTCATGGGTAAAATGATCTCTGCATAATCCCCAGTACACTTTGTAAAGCAGCAGAAGTCTTGACACATTAGCTTTGGTCAAAGGCCATCTCTGGGAGATCTTTTCTAGCCACCTGCAATAGTCAACATCGGTAAGAGAAAGAACTGCAAAGAACAGCATCACCTGCAAAAAAATCACCTCATTAGACAATTGCTTGGATTTTAAGGAAATTATGATAAAGCAAGTGATGCTAAATAAGAGTTTTATTAACTGAGTCTGAGCAAAGAAAGTACAGGGAGAGACATCTGGAGTCAAGTCTGAGTACCTGCAGTTATTGAATCTAATGTTTCTAACGTGGTACAATTGCTTTTCAAAGTAATCTTAGGAATGAGAAGGTTAATATAACCTGTAACTTTTCCTCCATCAAATGCGAAGATATTTTCTTCCTCATCGAAAGAGCAGATAAATGTGTGGCTATATATTAAAAATTAATGTCTACATGTTGGTAAGTCAGTGGCTAATCCATTATGAAAATTCCAATTCCTTTTTTTTTTTTAATTGCAAATTTAAAATCAGCAGGTACAAATTAAGAGAGATTTTTCTGTCTGATGGGAGTAGAAGAGTAAGGACAGAACTAGGAAAGCTAGATCAGAAGTCTAGTGTACACTGGTGAGACAAAAAGAAGGATATAGAGTGGAATTTCACATCTAGCTTTGGTGGGAAGGAAGCAGAGAGGAAAAGCAGATCTGAAGGAAGAATTCTGTGTAATCTCACTATATTTGCAGGATGAGATCATTATATAAAAGTTCAGGTTAAGAAATTAAGAAAAGGATGTGATTGGCAGAAACATTTTACTAGAACTAAATGTAGAAGATGGACAATCTCAGTGGCTGGAAGATCTGGGGGCAATTTGGCGAATTTAGTGGCAATTTTTTTAACCAAATATACCTGACAATAGGTCTCATTACACATTAAAAAAAAAAAAATATTGCTGACAGCATTCGAGTAAACAACACAAAACTCTACCTTATGAGGCACATTCAAATGCAAAATAAAAAGACAGGTACATTTGAAACATTTATTGACATGATCCCACAAGAAAAAGATATATGTGAATGGTCTATGAAAACACACTTTAGATAAGTTGCTCATGGGACAACTTAGCATGAAATTTATTACTTTGCTAGAAAAATAACTAAGTGTCCTAAAAGACAGCCACTGCCTTCCATAGGGTTGACAAAGAGAGAGGAGAATTTGGCCCTATACACTGCTGACTGGACGTTATTTGCTAGAGGATTGCATTTCTTCTATTAGGCACATGAAGATGGGATCTGAGTCTGTCTCAGGGACCCCCCAGAGCACAAGTAACCCTCCATGCTTTTAATGGTGATACAGAGTTCACAGATTAATATACTGATACTTGGAGAACTCATCTTCGTGATGGAATAAACACCTCTGGAAAAATGCAGTCAGAACCTATTAGCAGATATTAAAAAAATTGGTACCCATTGTCTTCTTTAAAATGCACAAATACTGCTTTAAGTAATGACGGTCATACAGTTATAAGATTTAAATAATGCTAACTTACAGAGTTTCTTGCCCTTGCTCCAAGTCTGTGGTGATGTGATTCATCTGAGTATTTGTATTACTGCACTCCCACTGCTGGAATACTTACATGTGATAATACATTTTCTTTTTTATTTCTGTTCAACAGTGGGAAAACTAGAATGTTTGAAGTGATATCAGAAACGCTGGAGCATGACTTCCCTTCTTGGTTTGGGAAAGTATTTGGATATGCCTCCAACCCTGGACTCATCCTACCTTTCATATTGTTGATGGTGTATGTACTATAATGTTATCATTCTTGTTATGTTTGTTTATTCTTTTTATTCTGTCTTTGTTGCCTGGGTATCTAATTAAATACACTACTGATTGCCCTGTGGTGAGGAACTTGAAATATTCATGAGAATTTTATTTGATCATAATTAATGTGCCTGTGCACAAAGCACAATGTCTTTTTTGTTCAATGATTTCTTTTTCTGTTTTAGTTTGTTTGTTTTGATACCATAATGGCCAAACTATTAAAATACAAAAGCCTGTAAGGAATCTGAAGTTCAATGTCTCTGCTCAGCTTGTTTAGTAGGCAGAAGCACACATCATAAAACCTTACATAGTTCAATAGAGGGCTCTCAGAACTCTCCGTAGTTCAGACTCTCAAAACCTCAGTAAGTTGGATTCTGAATGCCTTGGTGCCTGAGGCTTTGTTTGATAAAAAGAGCACTCTATGCAGTTGGATCTGCTGTGTAAGGCAGAGTGGTGGAGACAACATTTAGAGAGATGTTCCTTTCTTAACTCTCTCTCTGAAATTCCTTACATCCCAATTCACTTTGTGGAGTAGGGCTAGAACAAAATCTCCATATTTTGGAAGCTGCTAAAGAATAAAGGTGATTGAATAGCCTTTCTCAGAGACTATATATAAAGTTCTTCAAGATAAAATAATTGTAAACTGCAATATGTATATATAGTATTACTTAGTAATCTGCTAAACTAAATGTTAATTCTTGGTGGAAATTAGCTGAGATTTAACCCTACCTAGTAGTACTGCCAGCAGAAGATTATAGAATACAGTAGAAATTACAGAATGATCCTGTGTAAGCAAACTGAAAATTTGAGGTGAAGTTTGAGCAGGGTTCATTTAAACTTATGTTCTGTTTAACCATTTCTAGAAAAATTAAGAGCACAGGTTGTCCTCTGAAATACATGGTCTCATCTCCCACTGATTTTCTTGAGTACTATTCCTATCTTGGAATTATTCAAGGCAAAGACAGGAAAAAAAGAAAAAAAAAAAAAGGAAATTCAAGGTAAAATCAGGAAAAGCAGAGAAACATTATATGCATAATTTAGGGCCTATATCAGTAAAAGACTTCACATAAAGATGTCTCTAATTAAATCAAGATGATGAAAAAATGTTAATTTCATACATTTATCACAAAAGAAATACAATAAATTGACATGAAATCACAGTCATCTTTTTATTTGGTAAAAGGAGATTGTAATTTTGGAGCAAAAATTAAAATCTGTGCTTTTGGCTATACAGGAGTTTGTCTATTGTGTAAGTTTTTATAAATATAGTTCTTATAAATACTTCATAGTGAAGCATAGCTTTATGGAGAATCTTTCTTAACCACAATAATATAGCATGTGAAATATTCATAAATGGAATAATTTATTTCAGCCTATTTTTCCCTGAAATAAGAGTGACTTCTTCACACTTTGGAGAAGCACATTCTTAATTATCAAAATACTATTACTGATAAGGCAATATATATGAGGAATGGACAAAATTTTTATATTCACACAATTATAGATATTGATTTAGGAATGTTGCAAAATTGTTTATATTTAAATCATTATCTAACAAGATATATTCTTTTTCTTTACATTTAGCCTGAGTATTTATTATCTCAATGCTACATCCAAATCCTACAAGGAAGCTAACCTGGAACTTAAAAAGAAGCTACAAAGTGTAAGGAATAGAGAATTGTTGATATTTATTTCTACTAAATATTACAAAAACCATTAGCACACTAAAATGTGATTTTCTCTCTCCATCTCTAGCAAGCAGAAGAAAATAAAAGAAGAAATAAACAAAAAGCACAAAAATCAAATGAACAAGAGGAAAACCCATTTGAGACAGAATCACCACAGCCAAAGCAAAAAAACAATAAGCAAGATGAATCTACTCAAAATCAAGGTACAGACTGTTTTCAGTTCTTCAGGTTGAGGAATATTTGTTTGCCAGACTACGGTTTCTTTGTTGACTTTGCTGCTTCACTTACTGTAATATCTTCAACAACAGACACAATTCTGTTTTACAATCATTAGTATGATCTCCACTCTATTTTAATATCTGTAGCTTTTTAAAATAAATATTGTGATATCATTCTGCAACAAGCAAAACTTATTATCAAAAAACAGCTGAAAGAGTAGTACAGCTGTAGCATATTTTATGGTCTCAGCACAAAAAGTAAGATCCGAGTACAAATCAGTATGGTTCAAATATTGCATTCTCCTATCATACTTCTTTGATCCAGGACCTACAGGACCTGGCCTGGAAGCCAAGGTTCACCAAGGGAAGATGCTCTGAGAACACAGTGCAGTAGCAGTTCCTTATCAGGAGGCTTAGATAGGCCAGGCAGGTTTCTCCCCATCTTGAGGAAACGTCACAGGCTATTTCCTTACTCATGAACACTGCCAGACTTTCCTATGTATGTGACAAAACACTGAGAGTCCCATGGCTGAGAAAGCCTAAGTAATGCACTAGAATTTATGACCTTTGGGAGAACCTTGTGGAAAGCACATCTGCCATCTCTGTACTTGGGAGACGGTAAGCTGCAGCGGTGTCTGTCTAGTAAGGAATTTCTTCTTTGCATTTTCATCCTTTAACGCTCTTCTCTGAATATGTTTCAGATAACAAGAAAGGGCAGGGAGACAGTGATTCAAAGAAGAAGACAAGCCAGCAGCAGGAAGCAAGCTCCTCCCAGGCCCTCCAGCATCCCAGCCTGGCACAGAATGGGCACTATGCCCCCCAGAGCATGGGAGGAAACCTTCCTCCACCACATGTAGTTGTGACACAGCCTCTGGGGCCCCGACGGTTTGGAGTACTGGGATATCCTTCTGGAAACCCACACTTTCCAGGCGTGCACCCAGGAGGGCCCAGGGGCCCTCCCAACTACCGATGAGGAGGCTTTTTGTCCCTGTGCTTGAGGAAATGTGCTCTGTAATACAATGAGGAAGAAAACAGTGGTTTTAACCCCCAGAACACTCCTATAAGTACAGAACCTGTTGTGTTCACTGTAAATCTTTATGTATGTAGACGCTACTCAAATTTCAGCATTTGCAGGATAGGAGGCTTCGATGATCAAGTTCAGTAGGAACCGCTGCATCTCTCTGCTTGCATTTGAAGGCTCTGCAAAAATGTGTTATCCATGTCAATATATTCCTAAAGATACTAATGTTTATTAGAAGAATGAAAATTATTTTTTATTTAGTTGGCTATTTTGCCTAAAACATAGTATGTGTTTCTATAATATCCTTTTTTTTTTTTTCCCCCTTTGGCTTAAAGGCCTAGTTCACTGGAAACACAACTTCTCACCAAGTGTATTCATCATTTTTACTTAAATAAAGCATGTATCTTGCCTTCTGCCAGTCCACCATTCAAAAGCCAGATGGTTACCTCTGAAGTCTTTGGGAAAGTGGTAAATGTGTAAAGGCTAAGGATATTCTGGTTATTAAAAAAAAAAATCTCCTATTGGCTAAAACTACTACTTTTAGTCTTTTAGTCAATAAAATAATAATGACTTTTATGACGTCCTGGAAAAACTAAAAATAAATTTGAAAAATCAAAGAGAGGAAGAAATATTTTCTGTGCAAAAAAAAAGAAAAAAAGTACTTGGGGAAGAGAGATAAGACTATTTCTGTGATACTTTCCCTAGAAACTCATCAGGACTGTGTCATTGCGTAGACACATTTAGTTTGCGTAAGAACATGTGCTGTATAATTAAACACAATTCACTCTGTGAATTTATTGTCATATACTTACACTGTAATGACTTCTGGAGAATCCGAGGTGGAACAGGACTTTAGTATCATTGGTTTTGTACAAATACAGAATGGATACATATGCATATGCAAGCTGCTACTGCCTATTCCTATAAGACAGCATTATTTTTGTGTTCTGATTTTATTCCATTACTCACAGTTTGGGTCATGGTATTTATCCTAAGACACATAAGACCCATAAGAATTAAAATTAGTGAATATTAGTCACTCTTTTTTTAAAAAATGATTATAATTCCACTGAGGATTTTGTATAATACAAGCCTATTTTCTACAGTCAGAGAACTTTAAGTATCAGTGTCTATAAGTACCTCAAGGGAGGCAGTGAGGAGGATGGTGCTGGCCTCTTTTCACTGGTGGCCACAGACAGAACTAGAGGTAATGGCCACAAACTGATGCATCAAAAGTTCCACATGAACTTAAGGAAAATTTTTTTAACAGTGACGGTGACAGAGCACTGGAACAGGCTGCCCAGAGAGGTTGTGGAGTCTCCTTCTCTGGAGATCTTCCAAACGCGCTTGGACGCAGTCCTGTGCCACGTGCTCTGGGTGACCCTGTGTGTGCAGGGGGGTTGGACTAGAGGATCTCTAGAGGTCCCTTCCAACCTTAAGCATTCTATGATTCTGTGATTCTTTACCTCCATATAAGGCAAGTCTGTGATAACAGAAATAAACTTACTTAAACTTACTCAAGACTCAACAATAAAACTGTGGAACCTGTTAATGCAGGATTGGGTTTAATCCAGTCATGGATTAAAGATATAAAAGGAATCAGAAAAGGATTACAGAAAAATCCATATTATGCACAATGATCCAGATGCAATTTCCAGTAAGAAATCTTTAAATCAATTGACAGCCTCCAGTAGGATGAACCAAGGGAAAGTTCCCTTTATTCTTGACTTGACCCCTGTACTGCTTCCATAAACATCTGCTATCAGCTGGAGATAAGATACTAAATCAAACATACATTTATTCAGCCCAAGGACAGCTGCTCTGCATGCAAACATGGAGCAACATTAAACAAATCAGGGGATAAGTGAATCATGATAATAGCAAGAGGAGGTCTTTTCTAGAAAAGAGACTGGAAGTGAGTTGATACTAAATGAGGGAAAAAAAAAACACTCTTAAGATTGGATGCCAAGGCACAACCACATTTGGGGTGCAGTGGGTCACGTACTGCTGAATTAGATCAAGTACACCTAAGTGTAACATATATTGTTTCATCTTTCTTGGATAAGATCTATATCTTTGGATTTCAGATATATGGAAAAGAGTGCAGTAATTCAATCTGTGTTTTAAGTAGAATGTTCAAATATTTTTTGAAAAAGATTAATTTTTAAAATGTGCATGTTTTTAGTCCATAAATCTATAGCAAATACGCACAGTAGTTTTGGTTATTCCAAGATTAAACAAGTGCCGCAGTGCTCTAAGATTTGTCTCATTCGTGTTTTTAAGATAAATATTTTTGGGTGTGTGAGCTATGATTTATCTGTCATTGATTTGTATAGAAATTTTAGCTCATCTTTTCTAACCTGGAAGAAAGATTTCAAAATGAGAAAACTTTAGCTGAGAAACACAATATATTTCTTAGAAAAAGGAAAAAAAAAACTAGTTTCCAATCAAGACTGCAGATTGCGTCCTGATATATAGAGCAGGTGAATAAACTGATTTCAGAGATGCTTTATAGCTTGATAATCCTTCAAGAGGAGATGAAATAGAACTGCATTTTTCAAAGTTGTTGGAATAAATTGGAGTTGTAAACTGGCTTAGGTATAAACTGCTTCTTGGAAATGTAGAGGGAGTTTTATGCCATATACACTGATTTTAATAATGATTCCTCTTTCTATTAGGAGTGGAAATTTTCTGTTGGTATTGAAAAATTTTTCATTATTAATGGGTTTCGTATCCTGTTCTCTTTGATTGTTTTACAGAAGCAAATGTAGGAGAGAAACATTAAAAACACCAGCTGAAATTATTCTGAAGAACTTTCTGCTAGATCTATATGTTGCATTGATTGTCACCAACAAATGTGTTCTCAGAATGCATCTATATATACACTGATGAGCATGTAATACCTTACATGAATAACAATAACACTAGATGTTGTGCATGTCCTGGGATCAGCATCAAAATACTGTGCCTGAAAATGAAATATTCATATTCCTGGATGCTTTTAAGTAAAGATCTTTCAGCACTGTGTTTCATGAGCCTGTGTTTCCTTCATTCTGCTTAATTGTCTACCATCCAACTAATAAAATAGCAGAAATTCAGCAGAGAAGATCTAATACTATAATATTTAATGTTCTGTACTAAATCCACCTTCAAGGAGGCCTTCTTTTTTTCTTGGCAAAACTGGTTTTAGGATTGTTACAATAATTCTGCACGATCATATTTCAATTCACATTTCCTTTCCATTTAGCCTTTCCCCATCGCTTTTGTATTTTGAATCTTTCAGTTCAAATCTTTTCTCTCTCTGCTTTCTTTAGGAAAGCACCTTACGCAACCTTCATCCCCATACCTACCCATCTATGCCTTTTTTTGAGTCCCAAGCAGTGCT